TTTTATACATGGTGTAGTTAAACTAATTACACTGTATATGGCGGATAAAAAACCACGTACTGGGTCCTACAACCTCAGTTGCCAGCCGAGCTTGGCTTGTTATGTAATCACTCGCCGTGGTTAGATCCCATGGCAATTCGTGCAGATAGCTACCCGGGTGGCACCTTTCACGGTGGCTATTTGGGTAGTCAAAATTTCACCGTGTTTTGACATGTTTTTACCCACCCACCTTCCCAGAATTCATCGTAATTATGTACTTTGGGTGAAAATCAAAGTTTGCTCTCCAAATAAATTGAATGCTTCAAGGAAGGAGTGTACTGAATGGTTGGGTTGCTGGGTGTTTGGCCGTTTTTTGTTGGCCACTTTTGTAGCTGAATATGGGCCCTCGGGCAATCATGATGTCGTCAGCTTACTGTGTGTGTGCCAACCAGAAATTTGGCGTCAGTTCGTTTTGTGTAAGCTAGCAATGCAGGACATGTTTCGTCCTGTGCAAAGACTCCAACGAAAATCGCCGTGTTTCGCGAATAGAAAAGGTTGAATCACCTGCTGGCGGTGACCTGGACCTAGTTGAAGGATCCAGTGTCCAAATCTGCAAACACCACTGTGAAATTGAACGTATTGAACAGTAAATTCGTTGTCAATGATGCCAGAGTAAGAAGCCAATTTCTGCAACAGTCATGTTTAATTAGTTTAATTATGGACATAATACATGGTACTGGTATGTACTATCTTTCAACCAGCCCTTTCTTATCGGTGATGGCCCATTGCTCCACCAAGTGAGAACACACCATTAAACACCATTAAACACCATTAAACACCATTAAACACCATTAAACACCATTAAACACCATGAGTCCCACATCTTCAAACACACATTTTGATGCATGATTTCAACATGAATAGGTCGCTGCTAGAGAACTGTTCAGCGATCATCCTGGCTGAGTAGCCATGGCAAGTCAAACTGGAAACATGTTCTATCAGATCATGAGAAACCGAAAAACAAAAGTGAATCTGAAACCGGAAGGACATGCCAAGAAAGATCAGAGGTTTAGATCAAACAAACAAACAAATATCTTTCAATATCTTTAAATACACGATGACAAGAGCAATCACATATAGCTGGAATTGCCACCCGCTGGTCATGGCTCCGCTGGCTCGTGATCTTGTTGGAGGCCTTGGGGATGAGGGACGGATGCTTCAGCGGCTTGATGCAAATCAGGAACCACCAGGAACCACAGGAACCACAGTCTGAAAAAAGTCTGACGGAAAATGGTTCCGACAATCTCGAAAACAGTGTGACATTCAGTGTGACATTCATCTCTTAACTTTATTGCCAACTGATCTCTGCGTTGAGAAAACAACCTGGATCCAGCCACTGGGGCTGCCACTGCACAGCCACCCCCAGTTCTTTTTCCGTTCATGGAAAAACGAGGTCCCACTCGATCCTGGCAGGGAGTTTGGCGCATCGATTTCTTGCAATTTTGATAGGACAAGATAGATGGCATAGATGGAAGTAGATGGAAGTAGATGGAAGTAGATGGAAGTAGGTAGCAGATGGTAGCAGTAAACTTAGTAGATGGCAGTAACAAGTATTATAACGTATTTTGCAGTCAACAGTGTTTGCATCAAACCCATTCTAGGTACTTCTCATCTCTGAATTCTGTGATTCTACGTAGACTCGGCCAGTCTCATTTCAAGGAAAGCTCGCATGGAACATGTTCCAACATCGTTTGGAATACATGGACCCCATTGGGGCGGGTTCACCTATTTTTCTCAAAAAAAATGATGCTCCTGTAACTTGTTTGTTGTTCAATGCTGTACAGTAAAGCTATAGAACATGATAGAACACACGCTGAGGAAACTTATCCTCAATGTGGCTGGCTTTTTTCAGACCCCAACGCTGATGCGCTTCTTAGACGCCGCAGTTCGGCCCACTATTAGTGCGCGAGCCATCTACGATGGGTCCCAGCAAAGTAAACGAGCCAGGAATAGCCAGGAATAGCCAGGATATCTGTATTACCCTCTGGTAAACTAACATAACTATGGAAAATCACCATTTATAGTGGATTTTCCCATGAAAAATGGTGATTTTCCATAGTTATGTTAGTTTACCAGAGGGTATCTGCCATGGTCCATTTTCCCCAGTCCACAGCCAATGATGTGACAACTTGACCTGGTCACCTCAGAATATCTGACAGGCCCAGCCGATCGAAGATCTGGTGAGACCCGTCCGAAACTCGGAAACTCCGACTCCGTCCTGTGAGGGGCGTTGGATCATTGGAATGTGAGGAAAACTTGCGGGGAGAATGTGTGAATGCAAACCATGGCAAAGTCATTCCTAGTTTTTGACAAAAAGAATGCGGAGCCTATGACATGTCAAACCAGTGAAATCCGAGTATGATGTCACGTCTTGTTTTTTCTTCTTGATTGGAGTGCCTGTTTTCGAGCCACAGTTGTTTTGCAGTTGTTTTGCGATGTTTATGTTGCGCGTTCAACATGTATGAAGGCGCCGCTCCCAGCGACTTTCTTTCTCAAGACCTCGTCCCTGATCTTCCATCTGCGTTCGTTGATTTCTTTGATTTCAGAGATGCATTTTGCCATCTCCATCCTTCAGGTGCTTCATGTCCTGATGTCCAGCTCTGCGACTCAGCTTCAGCCTGAGCCGGAGGCCGGATCCCTGTTGCAAACCCGACCCCAGCAAGCACACCTGCTGGCCTCAAAAGCAGGCCAACCAATCTCCCCCCTACCGCCTGGCCTCCAAAGCCTTTGCTCCGGGGGTCCTTGCATCTGCCCCGTGTATGGTGACCTCCCTCCAACGATCAGAGACGTGGACCTTGGAGAATGTCGCAGTCTTTGTGAGTCTTTCCCGGCGTTCTTCTTTTTATTTAACAACAACGTAAACAACCCTTCGTCATACTGCGAGTGCTGCGAAACGACTGACACCGCAGAACTTCCCGTCGCCCCCCAATTCAGTACCGGAACGACGTACGAGGTTGTGCGTGGTGATCCTGGAACCTTGCAAGACCTATGTTCAGGTGAAAACTGCGTATGTGACGATGTCAAAAACGACACACAGATGTTCAATCTGGATAGCACACAGTGTGCAAATGTCTGCTACCTTCAGGATCCGCCTTTGCTGACCTTCTCTATCATTACTTTCAACGACCCTGAGGGCTACTCTGATGGGCGGACAGGATCAAATTTTAACGTATCTTCGGTCTGCAGATGCTGCAACGGGCCTGCCAAAAAAGCCTATGAATTTCCCGAAGAAGGGGTTGCTCAAACCTGGACCATCACTCCGTTTCCGGCCGGTGCGCAGGGTGATCCGCACATCACCACATTGGATGGACGCCACTACACGCTGATGAAACAAGGCATCTTTTCATTGTGGCACCTCTCAGGTTTGAGTACTCAGTTCCGTTCAGAGAATGGTGAGGTGAAGACAGTGCCAGTTGACTGGCAGATTTACACTCGCTACTCTGGACAGCAAGCCTTTACCAAAGGGCTGTTGCTGGTAGACAAGTCCGGCGGCTCTGTCCGGCAAGTCATGGAAATGACGTCTCAAGACTGCCAATGGCGAGCACGCAAAGCGGACACAGAATGGACAATGGTGAAAGATGATGAGGTCATCTCGGTTCCAGACAGTCAGGACTACGTGACTGGATTCCAAGTCACGACAAAAAGAGGTACAAAAGGCCACAATCGCGTGCATTTGATTGTCAACACAAGGGATGGCAAGATGGACAAGGCTGTCCTAAGCCTTAGCTGCAGGGCGCACCATCACATTAATCTTCAGCTGGTGATGAGACAGAGGCCCGGCTTGGGTTGGGTTTGTAATTGGCCACTGTTTGCATTTGATTTTATTATGTAAGAGATTGCACAATGCAGAGCAAACATAGAAAACCAGTGATAGAGACAGTTCCTTGGACTTATATATGTGTATGGTATGTACAGTAATCAGCCGTTAGACTTGTGCCTTGATGTCATAGCAAGACGTGCTTTTCAACAAGCTGATGCCACTTCTGCTTGTTTTTCGCAGGGACGATTATCGCTTCGTAGACGGCGAGCTGAAAGTGGCCCGAGGATTGTCCACCCTCCAAACGGACACAGAATTTGCCATTCACACGAAGTGGGAGGATCTTGGGGGCAGTCAACCGGCAGCGAAGTACCTCGAAATGGACCAGGCTGTTTTTGGAGGTATTGCCCTTTGGCAAAGTTGCAGCAGAGAGGATGAGGTCCAAGCCCAAGAGATGTGCTCCAAGCACCTGGGAGAGATCCAACATGGAGCTGATGAGACGGTTTATACAGATTGCGTTTATGATGTGTGCCATGGAGCTGGTGAGACTGCTGCAGAACTTGCAGCGGAGCTCCTTGAATCCACCCGAGCCATTGAAGGCGTTTAGACGTTAGATTGAAGGCACTTACAGTAGATGTGGCATGCATTTAAAGGTTTCAGCATTGGAGCTGGCCCGTCTTTTCGGATTCTGCGTCGAGACACTCCGCAGAGAACCGGAGAACGAAAAAAACACGATTTTCATGTAGCATGTGGAACTTTGCAGGGTCAGCAGACCTTGATGCCATCTCTGAGCCAAGTTGCCCTTCACGTGCAAGAACAGGATGTGTAATGCTATGTTGTTTCTGCCTTTTTGCGAGATTGCAGGAGATCTATTGAAAAACTAGGGAGAACTACCAGTTTTCGCGGTTTGCCCAGGCGATGGCGGCCAAGGGCTCCACCGAGAAAATGCGGAAAACGGCCGGTGCTTTTTAGATATCATGAACGGCTAAAACAAGATTAAGCACACCTTCAACACCATTTTAAACACCAGTAAACACTTCTGCAGGCCAGTGGTAAATCGGTGTCTTTACCTCTGTATTTAGCCAATTCACCCCTGTTGTACCTTGGGTGTTGGGAAAAGTAACATGAAGGTTGGAGAATCTGAGCTTTTGATTTTTTTTAGCAGAGTAACAAGCCAAGCTTTCCATCCTGGCGAAAGCCCCTTTCCGTAGGTAGGTGGCAAAACAAAAGCTATTTTTTTCATGATGCGTGGAGAAAAATCCATTCTGATGGCATAGGGGGATCAAAACCAAGGTGACAGTGACTTATCACATCTTCAAGTTGAATGATTTATTCGTGTCTGCAGCTGGTGCAAAAGAAGGCATGGCTCACAAGTCACACTTGGAACGCCCATGGCACTGCATGACACAGCCTACGTTACGTATGCCTACGTTATATGAATGTCTTTGGTGGTGCCAAAGCACCACAGCTCTTCTGTAACAGTGTTTTTCTCGAATGGGCACCATTTCATTTCAACCAGCGATTTGTTTTCAGATATACTTTGCAAGTTACAGTGTTTCAGCATGTCCTTTTCTCTGGAAGGCGTTTAAGCAACCAACCACAGACAGCACAGCAGAAGCTAACGACGGCAACCGACATGTAAACTTGACCAACGTCAAGTCGCGCTGGGATGTCGAGCACAAGGACTGGATGGTTGGAGATGAAGAAAAGCGTGCACAATTTGACTGAAGCCGGATGGATACTGAGAATGACCATATGTAGGTTTCCATCTATGATCCCCCAAACGGAGGGTTACAATGGAATGTCCTATTAAAATGGATGATTTGGGGGTACCCCGTTTTTTGGAAACCTCCATATTTTTCCGCTTCACTCTGATTTGTTTGACCCGGAAGCAGCGAAGGCAGTGTTAACCTGTTGACATGTGTGAACTACTCATATCGGCCAACATGTGTGGGAGAAATGGCTCTGAAGGATTTAAACTCCATCTCTATACCATTCAATACACATTTCTTCTGCAGAACTGTTCAAAACACGCTTGCGAGAACATGTCGGAGTTTCATCGCTTTTATTCCATAGGAAGGGCTGGTTCCAACTGTACACCGGCTGATATCCCAGCCACATCGCGGTGGAGAAAGCAAAATGATTGTCTTGGAGTGATCCCCACCCTGAAACACTATTCTGACATAGTTTCTGACATGCCATCTGGTAGTAGAAGCGCATGGCATATTCATTCTGACATTCTTTCTGGCATCTATTCTGACATTCTTTGGGCATAGTCCGAGGCTGGCAGAAAGAAGGAGGCGGAATAATCTAGAGACCCCCTGGCAGGTGGAGCAAAAAGCCTGCAGGCTTCGACGATCTAACTTGACTGGCGGGGGAATCTATATATGGGTTAGTATTTTTTCCGTCGTCCTAGATATGTATTGGTGGAAGGTGGCGCTCTTGCGAAGCATACCCCCGAAGCACGCCCCGAAGCATAGCCCCGAAGCATACCCCGAAGCAAACCCCCATAATGATCCATAATGAAGATCATTTTTGAGGGCTTGTTGATGGTTGTTGTTTGGAGATCATGGGTCGCGACACTTGCTTCATGCTGCCTTTAGGCGACCTTTGCGCCATCCCGCCCTCCATCCCCGCAGTCTGGCTGCCCTATGCAGCCAAGTAGGTTGAAGACAGCTTCGGTGCTGACTGGCCGCTGTAGCTTCATTGTGGCAGCCGATACCGTTTGCATCGACCAGCTTCTGGTGCTGACTGGCCGTTGTAGCTCCTGTCTAGATCTGATACGGTGTGCTGAATAGTCCTCCGCGAATCATACCCGAATCACACCCCTTTCATACCTCAAACCTTCAACTTCCAGACCCTGGCACATTTTGAACGCGTGAGTAAGATACTTCACATCTCTGCATAACCCTGAAAATAAGACATCCTTGCCCATACCGCCATGGCACCAAAGCTATGGCTTGAACCAACCACCTGCTGTCAGGAACAAACGTGCTTCCTACAACCAGCTATGCCTTGAACCAACTATACCTGCTGTCGGAACTAGCCTCGGGCTTCCCCTGTACTTGGGAAAGCCAGACTCTGGCCCTTGGCGGTTGATTTAGACCAGAAAACCATACGTGTCTCTATATATATATAATATATATATATGTATGCGTGCAAGGATATACACAGAGATATATAAAAGGTTGGAAAGTTTGTTGGAAGCCTCTTAGATATGAAGTAAGTTCCATGTGATGAAGTTCATGCGAAGCAGACCCCGAAGCATACCCCCGAAGCAAACCCCGAAGCATACCTCCTAAGCATACCCCCTAGACAAACCTTCCAGTGGGGATACGGTATTTCCAGACGAACCCATATATATTATATATATATATAAATTTTGATTATTCTTGATAGGAACACCCTCTATGATTACCATCCGGCAAGTAAACATAGCAACGGAAAACCCACCATCGATCGATCATTTTCTCAGCTATAAACCTCCATTTAGCTCAGGGATTTCCACGCAATCGCCATGTGAATGATGACAGCGGAGGGTAGCTCTCATCGCTGGTTCCATATTATATTTATATTATAATTAACATATATTAATATAATATAATTAATATATATATATAATTATTATATATATATATAATTATATATATATATTTCCCATTAATATCCCATTAATATCCCATTAAATATCCCATATGGGGTTGATCGCAGGAGCACTGAGGTGCTGGAGCCACTTGGTGTCCACAGACTGTGGCAGTTGGAAGACTTGGGAGTGAAATCTTGTGGCTTTGATAAGCCTGGTGTATTTACCCTCTGGTAAACTAACATAACTATGGGAAATCAGCATTTTCAATGGGTAAATCCACTATTTCTACTGGGCCATTTTCAATAGCTATGTTTGTTTACCAGAGGGTACCATTCTTTACCTATTCTGCAGAGATCTGGTGTGGCAAGAGGGGTTGGGGACTTCATTGCAATCTGGGACTGTCAAGGGGTACCAAACATCATATAATACCATTCAACCACAAAATAAAATTATCCAATGCCAAAATAGAATCAAGATGATCTACTAAAATGGATTTTAGGCGGATTTTGCATCAGAGGTTCATATTTATAGCTGAGTACCATCACTACAGGTACGTTCCATCAGGATTTATTCGTTTGCCCACTAGAAAAAAACAAAAGGGTTTCCCGCAAGAAACAACAATAAACACCAATCCAATGCGTACTATTATCAGATCAATCAGTGTTCGTCAATCCTTTGCGTTGATGATTTGTTGTGTGCTTTTGTGTGTGTTTCCTATGTTTTCTTGATAAAACCCTGGTTTTCCGCTGATTGTCTTCAAGGACAGAGATGACCATGGCGCAGGACCCCGCGCCCCAAGATGTGGAGGAAGGCAGTAGTAGAAACGCTGAAGCTGGGGGGTTGATGGAAGGTGATGGTGATGTGTGATGCGGATGGCTCAATTCAATGGGTAGCTTAGTTAAATTTATATTTACATAATATATATATATATCTATTTAATGATATATCGCAACTTAGGAAGATTTACATAACAGAAACGACACAACATCCAAATTTCGGACTTACCAAACTTGGGGATGAAAGGTGATGAATCAACATGCCCACACTGGAACAGTGGTGAGCAGCACCCCAGCCAAAATGCCATGGATTCCCAGATTCCAATCAATGTCACAGTACTGCGTTGTTGGATAGGTCGGATAGGTCCCATTTTGATGGTTCAGTCAGCTATTTCTTGTGTTTAAATGCTAAGCTCATATGAGCAAGAGGCTAAACTCTCCGTGAGGAGGTATGTATTCGAGCGATTTATCATGTAAAAATATGCATCTTGATATGTAAAAACGATATAGTGAAGTCCCAAAAACATCCAAAAACGATAACACGGGAATCAGTTCATGTGTGAAAGCATGCTGGGATGCCCAGCTCACACAACGGAAGATGTGCAAAAGTATGCTGACACTCTTGATCCTGGCCAATTTCTTTATTTCTGAGTATTGCAAACAGTTTTGTATCCAAGCACGTATTGCTACAGTATGTGGTAAGTAGCTGGATTTGGATGCTCTTTTTGTCTCGCCATTGTTCAAGCCTTCCGGATGAGCGTTTTGTATTTTCCCGCTTTCATGCAAGCATTGACGATGACAACAGGCCTCCTTTCCAACATTCCTTGGTTCATGCCATTTTCCAAAAATGTTTCCCTCTTTGAACGTTAACGAAAACGATAACGAAACGATCACCATTTCTTGACAAAATGTCCTTCGCTGATGGATGGCCCACATGCGAAAAGATTCTTGAGATGATTCTTTGCCGTTGAATATTATCACTTGCTTATTGCGATCTTTTTGCTGCTATGCATATTCTTTTGCGGCGCTCCATTGCTTTAGTCAATCCTGGTTTACCTCGGGCACACCTGCACCTGCAGGTTCGGTTTGGCGATCTTTATCCTAGATGAAGATAGCCAAGGCAAAAGCATTGGACCATGTTTATGGTTTGCTACCCAGACGCTGGGGAGTGAATGAAAGGCATGGAGCAATGTCGCTGTGAGAGCTCATCCGGATTTCTGCCAACAACTGAATTCAAACATGTTTCTGAGCTTGAGAAAGGATGGCGCAATTGTGATTTGCATTTGCATTGACAGGTATCATACCATACCATACAGTTGCAGCGCTGCAAAAGAAAGCGCAGGGCAGCCAAAGATGCTTCAGACGCTGAAGTGGAGGTGTAAAAAGGCTTTCCGCATGCAGTTTGCCAGGGGATGCGGATGATGCAATCAGGATATACTGTAAAACGATAAAGTGAAGTCCCAAAAACGATAACTTTGACCCTAAATCGCATTTTTCAATTGAGGTTTTGCCGATCGCTCATATCAAGTACATAATACAGTACGATTTTGAAGCCGTTTTTAAAAACCAACAGCAACATGGCAGCCATGATGCATCGCAAGCCTTTGGAGGTCCAAAAGCCAGGATGATCCATGAGGGACCGATGCCGCACGGGTACCCGGCATCATCTACAAGAAGCTGATACCAACTGGCAGTTTGAATGGTTAAAACCTGTTAAAATGATGATGAACCAGTGGATTTGGGGACACCATATTTTCAGATGCACCCAACTGTTATTTGCCCCTAAAATGTCAATGGTTTGTATATGTTTACCAATTTTTATGCGTTAAGTGAGGATCTAGGTAGATATTTGGGACTGCTGAATGCCCAACATTTCCATGCTATTGAGCTGGGTGTGCACAAGTATTGTTGGCGGATATACGTGTATATATATATATATATGGATAGTATGATGTTAAACATGTTTCCAAACCTTAAAAGTCACAGACTGTGGCAAACCCAACAAAGACATACCGAACTCTCTGGTCTCTAGTTTTTGCAAACAAGAGTATACATATATATATATATATATATTATAACCATATATCCCTTATATATATAGTAACAATAGTAATAATAGTGATTGAAATAGTAGTAATAATAATGGTAATGATAATAGTGATTATAAATAATGATAATGAAAATAATAATGATAAAATAATAATTAACTAATAATAAGAATTATAATAATAACAATAATATTACATAAATATATATATACATATTATACATGTATCTACCACCCTTCTGCTTGGTGCTTGGGAGCACCTCCCATCAGCCATGCCCAGGCGCCACATCTGGGAATCCCGAGGGCCCCCTCGCTGGCGCTTGTGCGGTATGCACTTGGAGGAGGTGAGAGCGGTTGAGATCTGACAGGATGAGACCAGTGCAGACGGGCATTCTGGGAGGTATGATGACAGGGGGTCAAAAACGACTTAGTTTTAATAGGGGATTTTTGTAATCCCCTATTAAAACATATTGTTCTTAATCAACCACAGAGTAAATGAAACACGCAATGTGGGAAACCCAAGAATAAACCATTTCCTAAATCACCATAAACGGGTTGTATAAACATGTACAAACAATCTCCAAATGGTAAATTTATTGTTGGGTTGCCCATATTGCTGATACAATATGGGTATCTAGTGGTAATGATGATGGACATATGGTGGTACACGGTAAACACGGTAAAATCATTGGGTACACTTGAGCAGTGTTCAACACCCTCGTTGATTGATGAATGTATGGGGTTATACTATCCAGTATACTGGTCATTGTTGTAGCCCATTATGGGAACGCTGCTGAATTGTTGCTGGGAAAATTACATGTTGGCACTTGTATTATGTTGGGATGGGATGTATGAATATCATATTCCAATCAATTATGCTCATTCAAAAAAAATACAATAATGCCATATAGTGGATAATTCTAAAATACCTTATATTTCATATGATTCCAATATGTTCAAAATCTCTCCTTAAAAAAGCGGGAGGTTTTTCTTGGATGTCTGGATTTCCCACTGCCAGGATTTCACGAATAAATGGGGATGTTTTTTGGGGATGTACGATGAGGATGTTTTTTTGGGATGGAATTTTGTCTTGGGATATTTCATGGGGATTCAATGGGGATGCAATGGGGATGTAAAGGTGTGTGTGTATCTATATATATATATACACGTATATATATATAAATACAGCCAGCAAAACATGTTTTGACTGTTACACCGGGGTTTTGATTGGTTTTAACACACCTTTGCGGAATTCAAGCATCAATAATCTTGCTTTAACCAATCGACAATGGAACTTGGAGCTGTCTGAAAATGGGAGATTTGCAATCAATCTATGACAATTGGATGTGGCAAACAATGATCAATGATCAACCAGTGGATGGAATGGGGCACTAAAGCGGATCAGTTGAAGGCTTGGTTGCGGATCACAGGTTGAAATCGCTTCGGGCTTCGGAGTTGGAGAATCCGATGCATCGTCTACGCTTGTCTTCCAATATGTTTGGAAAATTGGTTGTTTCTGACTTATTGTGGATGATTTTCTTATACTGAAAAAACCTGCGGGTGTCTGAAAATGATTAGCATATACCTCAATTTTTTGGCCATCAAACAATAGCGAAGAGGATGACTAACATTTTTCAGACACACCCGCACGAGCCATGGTCAAGAGTTGGAGACCCACATCGGGTGATGGTCATCAATCCATCACTGGGATATTGCAGAAATGTGCGTGTTCCCAGTATGGGATGGATGGCCAACAAAACAAAAAACATATATGACACAATGTGTTGTAAACCATGTTCCCATCAATATGTTCCAATAGTTTAACCACATCATTTCGTGTGTTGTCCCACGTTTTTTTCTTCATTTTCCCGTGAAGAGCGCTGATTTGAACCCTACGGCAGGACGACTTTGAACTGGTGCATCGGGCTGCTCGGAGGCGGGCCCATATGGGAAATGGGAACATGTTTGGGATATATATATATATATATTTATTTATATATTGTTATTATTATTTATTTATCCATGTGTGATTTATATATATACAAATATATGTGTATATATATTTATATATAGTCATCCCCCCTTAAAAGGAAAATCTGAATTGAAGATAGTAAACATTAACGTGTTGTTTTTATTTTTTGGTGGAGCATGCTATATATATATATAAATACATCCCATAATATATATATATATATCCCATATTTACATATGTAAATATACGTATATATAATATATATATATATATATGTACCATGTATATACCCTATATATATAATATATATAAATATGTTATGT